GCAGCGTAGAGCTGTCACCACCCCAAGGGTGATAGGACATTGGCCAGGGACCCAGGCCCCATAGGCACCCCCTTCACAATGGTCCCAGGCATCCTAAGCCCATAGATCCCCTCCGTGCACAAGGGACCCAGGCATTTGGGCTCCATAGATCCCACACACACAAGCAAGCCAGGCATCTGAGCCCCACAGAACCATCACAAACCCCCAAAGACCCCAGGTCTCCATAAATCACCCACACACTCAAGGGACCCTGGAGCCTAGGCTTCATTGTTTCCCCCCACACAAGGGATCCAAGCATCCAGACCCCCTAGACCACCCCACATCCCACCCCTACAAGGGGTCTGGACCACCCTTGCTTCTCCCTATAGCTCTGCTCCACGGATCATCCTGTGGTGTGATGCTGTGGGTCCTGGATGCCTGGGTCACTGGAGAGATGCCATCTTGTGGCTGGGGAAGCGGAYGGAGCTGCCCCCCTCCTTCTCCCTTATCAGCCACCCCCTCCCCAGGAATGCTCCTCCCCTCCCCATCCCATGATGGTCTATAAAGGCTGTGGGGCTGCGGGGCTGGCATCGCTGTCGGCGTGGGGCAGAGAGAGAGAGGGTGGGGGGCACAGTGGGAATATGGGATGTGGATATGAGGGGCTGAGGGAAGATATGGGGCGCTATGGGGTGCACAGGAGAGTTATGGGGCACAGGGTGGATCTGTGGGGCACAGGAATCTGTGGGGGCCATGAGGCACAGGGGGGCTACAGGATACGTAGGTGTTCTCTGGGGTGTGGGGACCTGTGGCTACACATGGGGTTATGAGAGACAGAAGACCTAAGAAGCACTGAGAACTCTCAAGGACAGAGATCTATGGGGGCACAGTGATCTATGGGACACTGATGGTCTATAGGGCACTTAGGGGGCCCATGGGGAGCAAGCAGGGCTACGGGTCACATGGGGTCTATGTGGCAAAGGGATCTATGGGACATAAAGGGTGTATGGGGCAAAGAGGGTCTATAGGGGCCATGGGGTGCAGCCCTACTTACCCTCCACATCCCTCCAGGTCCCTTCATCTTACCTGCTAGATCCACAGACTCCAGGTGAGGGTGATGCTGTGGGGCAGCATGTGGGTCGGTGCTATGGTGGGGTGCTGCTGTAGGGTGTATGTTTTGCTGTAGGGTCTGCACATCACTACAGGGGGTCCATACTTTGCTATGGGGAGGCTGCATGTGGGGCTGTGTATGACTGTAAGGTTCCCTGCATGGTTATAGGGGTCSCTGCACTGCTGTGGGTCTCTATGCATCACTATAGGGATCCCTAAATCACTGTGGGGGTCTGTGCATGGCTATAGGGGTCTTTGCATTGCAGGGGTCCGTGCATCACTGTAGGGTTGATGGCCACTGGTTGGGGAGGTGCCTGCATCAGTGCAGGAGTCTGTACATGGGGCTGAACATGGGTATTGGGGTCCCTGCATGACTGTAGGGGTCTGCCCACTGCTATAGGGCTTAATACATGGGGTCATGAATAGTTATAGGATTCTGTGCATGGGGCCATACACAACTGTGAGGACCTGTACATAGCTTCCAAGGGTTCTTGAATGGCTATAGGGGTTGCTGCAGGGAGTCCCTGAACCACTACAGGATTGTGCATGGGGTAGTGCATGACTGTGTGGGTCTGCAGAGGGCTATAGGGCTCCCTGCACATCTATAAGGGCCCATGCATGGGGCTGTGCACAGCTACAATGCTCTGTGTCTGGCTATAGTGTCTGCCACAGCCATAGGGGTCTGGGCATGGCTATAGGGGCTCTGRTCAGTGGGGGTGTGTGGGGCCATGGAACGAGGGGTGATACCCTGAGGCCAGAGCCCCACAGCCCCCCAGGTGATGCAGRGTCCCTGTCTGTGTGGGGCAGGATGGGGGATGCAGTGCTGGCAGCTCTGGGGGCAGCAGCGCCCTTCCTGCGGCCAGGGGAGCGGGAGCGGCTGGCAGCGCAGACCAGACCCTTCGACCCTCGCAGCGAGTGCTTCGTCCCCCACCCCCGCGAGGAGTTCGTGCGGGGGCGGGTGATGGGGCGCCAAGGAGGGGAGGTCACCGTCCAGACTGAGCTGGGAGAGGTGGGCAGCTGGGGGATGGGGGCTGTGAGGGGCGGGGGGCGAGGGGCCACATGGGAAAAGGGGTTAATGGGGTGAGGGGTTAAGGATGGGAGGGGGCATAGGGGGTGGCTGATGGGGCATAGGGGGTGGATGATGGGGGAAAAAGCGGGAATTGGGCATCATGGGGGTGAGGGTTGGTGGGAAGTAGGGTGAAGAGTTAAGGAGGGAGGGGTTAATGGGATGAAGTTAATGTGGGAGGACTTAAAAGAGGGGGGGAGGGGGTTGAAGGTTTGAGGGGGGAGGAAATGGGGGAGGCAGAAACCAGGCTGATGGTGGTGGGGGCCCTGATTCCCTGAAGACTTCCCAACCAATGGGAGGTGCCCCCAACACATAGGAGACCCCTCCCAACTCATAGAAGAAATCCTACCAAGAGCACCCCTACCCCACAAAGTACCCCCCAAGACATGGGACACCTCCCAACCCTCACCCCCATGTCTCCCCATTCCCCCCCAGACAGTGACAGTGAAGGAAGCTGACATTCACCAGCAGAACCCCCCCAAGTTTGACAAGATCGAGGACATGGCGATGCTGACCTTCCTCCATGAGCCTGCTGTCCTCTACAACCTCAAGGAGCGCTACGCCTCTTGGTTGATCTATGTGAGCCTTCTCACAAGCCCCTGGGGCATCTGGGAATTAGGTGGGGCCTTACCCACATTCTATGGGGTGGATGGAAGCTTTCCTAAAGCTCTTGGGATATGTAGAACYAGATGGGGCTTCCAGAACTTGGTGTGGCTTTTTCATGGACTTTGGGACACCTAGAACACAGTGGCCCTTCTCCAGCTCCCTTGAGCCATTCAGACCCAGGACATTCAATTTCTAGACAGCCTCAGCCACCAAGACCTGAGATGCTGTATCGCCTGACCCCTTTGGCCACCAAGATCCAAGATGTCACTTCAATAGGCCCCTTGATGTGACACAAGATGTCCGATCCCCAGACATCTTGGGCCACTGACACATGATATGTCCCATCTCTRGATGTTGTGGGACACCAGACCCAAGATGTCCCTTCTCCAACCCCTCTKTGGACAACAAAAATCAGGACATCCCATCACCCTATCCCTTGAGCCACCTAGACCTGGTGGCACAGCACCTCCTGGCTCTCACCCACCTGTCATTTTTCTCCAGACCTACTCAGGGCTCTTCTGTGTGACAGTCAACCCCTATAAGTGGTTGCCTGTCTACAACGCTGAGGTGGTGGCTGCCTACCGGGGAAAGAAGCGGAGTGAAGCTCCCCCCCACATCTTCTCCATCTCTGACAATGCCTAYCAGAACATGCTGACAGGTAAAGACATCAAACTAGAACACCCCACTCCAAAAAGTGGCTCCTGACTTAGAASTGGTACTCACCTGGGAGGATGAAGAACCTTAGCCTCAACCCCAAGATCCCAAGCATGTTTCTTAAATTCCACCTGACTCCTCTCTTTTCTTGGCAGACCGAGAGAACCAGTCCATCCTCATCACGTAAGGCTCCTCTTTGTTCAACCCTGCCTCATAGCTGTGGGTTGAGACGAAGAACCCACCAGGATGTTCCCCAATATCTCTCCCCCTAGCGGAGAATCCGGGGCGGGGAAGACAGTCAACACCAAGAGGGTCATCCAATACTTCGCCAGCATTGCT